CATGTTACTGATGACTAGTTCAGGGGCAATCGGAAAACTGAAAATCAAACAATTAAGTCTGTTTTTACAGTTTCTGGCTTTGATTAATGGCGTCATTTTGACATTTGAAAAAAAAAAAAGATTTTTTTGCACCCTGTTTTCCCTCCCAAAATTTTAAATTTGATGTTTCTGTTTGATTTCACAAGTATCTGTTGATTACTTGTGACATCTTAAACTTTGGTCGTTGTGTATTAAAAGGGCCTCATCTGCCACAGGGTTCTTTCAGTAGTGACGTAAACCAGCTCAGATAAAGCTGTGACCTGTATATGTTCGTCTCTTTATTGCTTATTAAAGTTTTTATTGCTTTTATTATTTTATTGGTATTTATTAAACTTGACATATTGTGTTTTCTGTTGTTTTACATTTATCTTTACTTCCTCTTTTAAAGCCTTGATTTTAAAAGTCCCATGCAAACTAAGTTATTATTAGTAGTAGTATCAAATCAAATCGAGTTTATTGTCATTTTGCTGTACATACACAGTCGTACAGGCAAGATGAAAGAGCGTTTCTTCAGAATCCAATAACTTAAAGCAATTTAAATAAAGAAGTGTTTGCACATCTGGATCAGCAGTTCAGCATCCTGACAGCTTGTGGAATGAAGCTGTTGATCCTTCTGGAGGTTCTTCCTTTAATGCTCCGGGAACGTTTGCCTGATGGTAGCAGTTCAAACAGTTTATGGAGAGGGTGTGAGGAGTCCCTGACAATGTTCAGTGCCCTGCTCCTGCAGCAGCAGTAGTCGTAGTAGAAGGATTTCATAATGTAGTGTTTATTATTTTATTTAAAACTGAATGTGCTAAAGCTTCCTTATGATCTGTGCTGTATATAACATCAGATTAGATTTAGAATAGATTAGATTATTTAATTTTGTTGTCTGAGTGCAAGTATTAAGACAACAATATGCATTTTAGCATCTAACCAGGAGTGCAAAAGAAACATTAACAGTGCAGTAAAACACGCCTTGGTTCTGTCCTTCATTAGATCTCCAGAATTAGTTTTAACCGTTCTGCTCTCTTCAGGCGTGGAGCATCACGTATGTCAGCTGGCTGACGTTCGTCTTCCTCATGTGGTCCTGCATGCTGTGGATGGTGAGGGACCGGAGGCGCTACGCCATGCTGACCTCCCCCTTCATGGTCGCCTACGGCAACCTGCTGATAGTCCTGCAGTACATTTGGAGTTTTGAGAACATGGAAGAGGTCCCAGGATTCTTTGTCAAGAAGGAAAACCCGTTCACCTCGCTTTCGTCCAAGGTTTGGGAGTTAAATTTAATAGCTGAAGAACTTGTGATTTAATTTGTGGAAGTGTTTCTAATGTAGCAGCTGTAATCTCAAAGCAGCCAATGACATATATTTTATGTGAATCAAGCTATTTGGCCAACAGACAGTGCCTCTCTATTAGTCAATTAATAAAATACGACATCGCAGTCTCGCAGTGTTCCTGAAAAAGGTCAGGTTTGTGGTGTTTTGACATGTTATGGAATAGCTCTAAGACTTTCATGTTGGCAGCCACTGAACCTGACCTAATTATGTCTAGAATGAGACTTTATACGTGAGTTGTTCACCACAAGCTTGGAAATGCCTTAATGTGTGTGTTTTGTAGCACCCATACTTCTGCATTATTAAAATGTGCATGTGTGTGCTTATCCTTTAAGAAAGTGGGGATGCAAGTATGATTACAAGCTCAATTCTGATTTACTGTTTATACACTGTGTTATTTTGACCACCCATAATTTGCTCCTAATAGGTTCAAATACACAGGAAGTGATTTATTCAGTCATTTTGTTCTTTTCTCATTGGTCATCTGTTGATAAGCATTTTATTTATTGTGTGCAGATCCTGTGTCTGCTGAGCTTCTGGTTGCTGCTCAGACAAACGCTAACAGAGAGAGAAGAAAAACTAAAGGAAGACAATGCTGGTCTGTCAGACGTCCATGTGGAGGATCAGAAGAAAAAGGGTAAGGCCTGCACTCATGTTTTCTTTAGAATAACAATTATTTGCTAAACCAATCATTAGAGAGGCAGCGTAAATGCTTAAAGACAGATACAGCAATGAGGGATGCTTCTGGTGTCCCGTAATGCGAAAAGAATCAAAGTTAAAAAGCAAAAAAGTCACTCAGGTGAAAGGTTTGACATAAAAATCTGCTGTTAAATATGTGCTAATAACCTGCAAACTGCACCTTTTATAGAGGAAGAGGACTCTGAGGAGGGAGGGGAGCCAGACGTCATTCAGGTCCTCGGTAACATGGTGATGGCTCTGCTGGTTAAATACTGGATCTACATCTGTGGCGGCATGTTCTTCTTCGTCAGCTTCGAGGGAACCATCGTCATGTACAAGATCATCTACATGATGATGTTCCTCTCCTGCGTGGCGCTCTACCAGGTACCAAAACACACCAGGCACGGTGAGGATGTACATGCAGTGGGGTTTTTTGTTTTCGACGCGATATTCCAAATATTTTTCTTAAATTTTTCTCACATAACAACAATGCAAAAATGACATTTTTCCATTTTGTTCAAATCTATTATATATTTTCTTACTGAAGTGCACAAAGACAAACAAATTATTGACTAAAATCCTAAATACAACTTTTGGGGTTGCTGTAATGTGACAATTTGTGTTAGAAATGCAATATATTCTAACGGTTTTCCATTTTGAAGTGAATTTTCTATTATTTAATGAATTGTTAGTGAAACAACTTGAGAGGTGTCCACAGCAACCTTGTCCCCAGTGGAACGTGGTTCAATGTGGCTTATTTCCCAATTGCTGTAATCTTTGTGAAGATGACGTTAGTCTCGCTTGGTCGGCCATTTTTGTAGTCCATATTGTCATTCAGCTGTAGGGAAAAACACTCTGGCTTGTTTGTATTTCTTAAAACCAATCACAGTCAACTTGAGTGAAGCTAAGCAAAGGATGTAGCTTTGGTGTTCCCTCAAAATACATGAATTTGCTGTGGTGGAATATTTGCATGTAGGGAGATGAACACTTATTAAAATAGATAACCCACCAAAAAAGACAAGCAGTGCTGCCTTACTGCACGATCCAAATATTCAGCAAAACTCTAAATTGTCAGCCTTGTAGGTTTGCTGTCAGCAGGTTGTTGTTGTTTCTCGTAGCGAAGCCGATGGCATTCTCGTAACTGCAGCGATTATTTCAACGTTTTAACTCCTGGAGAGAATGTTTTGTTGCCGAATTCATGCATTAACACACCAGAACATTTGTTATGACCTCAATCACAGACACAGAATCTTGATTTGTTTTTTTCCCAACCAGTGTAAATGAGCATCTGAATATGTCTGAGTTAGAAGTGAGTAAGTACAAACCGTCTGCACTGCGTCTGCCTGGGCTAGACCGAACTTAACAGAAGCGACGTTTGTTTGCATTGTTGAGCTCAAGTTTACGACTGATATGGTGTTCATGAAGAGTGAAGGACGGCTGTGGACAAAACTGCTTTGAGACTTCTCTTTAACCCAAACACTGCCACACATGACTTAAATGCTTCTTGTCTAGAACTTGAATATATGTTGCTGAAAAGTTACAAGTCAGTTGATTGGGTGTTGTTTTGTTGTTGCTAATTGTTTTGGAGCTCTAACCTTAGCAAGAAATAAATGCACAACTTTGGGTAATAGGTTTGAGAAGCCCTGCTGTACATACTTCCATCAAAGTCAGACAGCTTAAGCTGATGTTTGTGGAATGTGTTGGATATTTTAATTATGAATCTTTTTAAAGCCAAATTGCCATCAGGTAGAATCAGACTGTTTACTAGGGATGATGTATGTTTATAATACATATATATGGGCAAGACGCTGTAAAATTTCCAAATTCAATTTTACAAAGACAGAAGGCGCTGACAGTTTCAATGAGGCCATAAAGTTTGTGTGCCACAGGATCATAGCACATATTGTCTTGTCAACTGTTTTATAACCGCAGCTGCAGTTAAACTAGGAAGTCACTATAAATAAAAGTCCTCTGTGCGTTGTCTTTCATTTAGGGGAAATCATAAAGTCTCAAACACAATTATTTTTTTATCTAGGTGCACTACGAGCGGTGGCGATGGATCCTGAAGTACTTCTGGATGTCGGTGGTGATGTACACGATGCTGGTGCTCACGCTGGTCTACACCTTCCAGTTTAAAGGCTCCGAGAAAACCTGGTCCGACATGCTGGGGATGGACACTGAGGGGTGAGCGGCTGTGAGAGGCAGGATGCTGAGTCACTGCTGGCTTCACTTCCCAGACTTGGACAGCTGGATTTGAAGAAACAGCTTAGTCACCTAACCGTGGATTTGTCTCGATCCCTTGTTTCAGCTGCATTTCAGTAAACTGGCACCATTAATATCATGCCGAACGAGCTATTAGTAGCTAATGTTGAAACTGTGCCTACGTACCTAACAGACACATATAACTGGATTATTAAAGAAAAAATCTAAATATTTAGATTCTCAGGCATTATCTGGAGTCTTTTTTCTATTATTTGTGAGTAGATATATAGACTTTTATTGGTGATTGACATGGAAGATAAATTGCAAGTGCTAGCAGTTATAAAGTCCTGTTTTATATTCTCTGCTGCTGCTCCAAATGTTGGTGGTGCTGATGTGCAGGTCAAACTACAATAACTAATTTCCTGCTTTTACAACACCATCATGCATCTGTCGTGCCTCACGTGTCCTTCTGGAAATGCTAATATTTTATAAGGAATAAAAAAAGCAGAGCAGTATATAATCATAAAAAAATCCTGGAGTTTGAAATACTGGAGTCCACACAGCTCAGTGATGACGGTTTAAGACTCTCCTGTGCTATAGAGAACTGATAAGAGCTCAGAAAACAGCTCTCAACAAGGTTAACACAGTGCAAAAATATACAATTGTTTAACAGTACACATGCAAATTCATTTATAAAAAGCACACTTGGGGCGCCGCGATAGCTCACTTGGTTGAGCTGGCGGCCCACATACAGGGGCTACAGTCCCAGTGGTAGTGAGTTTGAATCCGGCTCATGACACTTTGCTGCAGGTCCTTCCCCCAGTCTTCTCCCCCACTTTCCTGTCTCCATCTTCACTACACTTTCAAATAAAGCCATGAAAGGCCAAAAAAAAAAACTTTAAAAAAAACAAAGCACGCTCAATTTGGTAAATAATTTCAATGTGAAAGTAGTTGTGGTTTAATTTTTTTTACATTGTTTTTCACTCTAAGATAACATGCATATAGTTTATGTCATATAGGGAAACTTTGTTTGATTGTTTTATATGCACATAACACTGTTTTAGGGATGTGTGATGGAGTCTTTACACAAAAGTAAATATCATCCACCTTTGCTTCCCTTTTTTACATGATCTTGACTTTAGAAATCGAATGTGGATTTAAAAGTGTTTTATTCATTCAGACTTTACTATTTCCTTTATCAGAAACCTCTGGAAGGATGTCAGCTCAAACCTCATCTTTTTGTGTTTTCTTCTATGCAGCTTGAAGGATCTGGGCCTGGAGCGGTTCTATGTGTCCAAGCTGTTCACCAGGATTTTCATTCCCACCTCCTTCCTGCTGGTGTGTATTCTCCACCTGCACTACTTCCACGACCGCTTCCTGCAGCTCACCGACCTCCAGGCTGTAGTCGCTAAAGAAGAGAGCACGATCTACAGGTGAGGCCCAGACTGTGTGTTTTCTTTGACTCCAGCATTAATTTAATAGATAACTCTCTTTGTTCTTTTATATTTAGTTTGTTTAAGGTCATGTGGCTGAATTGAACCCTTTTCAGAAATGCTCTACTTTCCGTTAGTCTGACAACGACTGAACGTGTTGGTCCTTTTTTCTGAGCAACCTGCTCGTACAGGTTGTGACAGCAATCTTACTAAACCCAACACAGTAACCTTTCTGCAACCCTTTCAGCACGACATAACTCTGAACTGCATGCTGTCACATTAACGGGGAGCAACATACTTCAAGCTCTTTCCACTTTTCAGCACCAATATTCATCCAAAAACATCGCAGGGTGCAAATAGCACAGTTTGCATGTCCGAACTGTCAATTTTCCTACAATTTATGCATCTAGTCCCTACCACCGGACGGGCGCATGCAAAATGAATGTTGAATCTAAAAGTCAACATCCATTCAAGGCTTCACCTGCTTTCCTGATTAAAAGTCCTCCATCAAACCCATCGGCCGTCACATCCTGTTCTCACTGCGGACTCACTGTCGCCGTTCATATGATCATAAAAACCTCTGTGATTGACTAAAATCTCCTGTCTGATCTTCTAAAGTCTAAAACTGGAGCCAGAAGTCCTCACAGACCACTTAAATAAACTACAAGGTTAGCTTGGAAATTATATAGTATGCCACAATTGTAATGCCCGACACTATAAAAAAAGAAAAGACAAAAACGTGAATTTCTTTGATTATTTAATTTGAATGTAATGTTTCACATCTTCAGTGTTTTTCCAAGTAGCCACAAGTTACTGGAAGATGAATATTGGCTCTACACACTACAGATATTTTACTGCTTGATTGTTTCATTTGTTTCCATACTTGACTTTTGTTTGCTCTGCAGTTCAACCCAGATCAGCTAAAAAGTCTTTAAACTCACGGCTGAGTCAGTCTTATCGTATCGGTTATGCCGCGGTGTGCAGAACTCCTTGTTTTTCACAAAATATTGTTACTACAAAAGCATTAGTTTTTGGAAAATTTCAAGAATCAAGTCATTTTATTGAATTATCCCAATTTTTCGCCTTGATTTGGTTGTCACACTTGACAGCTGAAAATCTGATGATTCTTCCTGTTTTCACTTTTTGCTGCTCTGATTAATGTTTTGATGATTTAAAAAAAAAAAAAAAAATCCTTTGAAACCTGCGGCCAGGTTTTGGGGTCCAGAGGGTTGAAGCTTGTTTTTTCCTATCAACTGGTTTCAAAATGTGTCCCCAACATAACTTAAAGTCAACTTGATTGACAAATAATACTAGATTATTTCCAAGAAATCTCAGGATAATAACACACACACACGTTAAACCCAACAGATGTTACATAGACGGGCGTGAAGTAACAAACCTTTTCATCACACGCTGTTCTGGATAATCACACATGCACACCCAGTTAAACGCCCGTTATAACCGCTGTTCTCATCTGTCGTCGCGTGCAGCTCCGCGTCACAACATCCACATTTCACAGTCTGCTGCGTCGGAGTGTTAACTTTATAGTTGTATTGTTGTGGATTTTCCACTGTTTTTGCCGCCAAAAGCTTGCTCAGCTCATCTCCCCTTCTCGCTTCTCTCTGTGACCTGCTGCTGTCTCTCCTTCTCTGTCGCCATGTTCTCACAGCCACGCTAAAGTCAATGGGCGTGTCTATTTGATCATGAATAGGTGGGTATGTGCTCGCTTTCTGTGGCATCCATCACCATCCCAGTTGAACCTCAGCGTCTTCCTCTGGTTGCAACAAAGTCCTTTCCCCCCTCTCCCCAACACTCTCCCTGTTACCTTGTACATTATTAATCTTCTGAAACATTTTCCTCTTGATGTTTAGGTGTTTGATATGACATGATTGGTTTTCTTTTTCAGGTTTTCTGTTTATTTGTGTTAGCTTGTAGCCTTCTCTTGTTGTTGGGATTGTTCTGTTAGCTTCCTGGATCTGTCACCCGTTCCTCTCTGAACCCAAATAAAAATCTTTCTCCTTCTGACAGACTTCTTTCTCCAGCATGCTTCTGTATCTGCAACAACTACTTCTTCCCTTCCAGTATCTTGCCAATGTTTCACACCCCTTCTATGCACTGAACCCCAGAAAATGACCCCCATTCCTGAAAAAGCTCGTCTACCCCAAACCACTGGAGTCCTGTGGCCACTTTTTTTTTTTCTTCTTTCTTTTAAACGTATTTCAATAAATCTACATGGATATTTTTAAGTGATTTATAGGGTGCTTTGTCAGTTTCTCTCCTCACTGTTCATCTTGACTTCTATGCAACTTTATTGTTCTGAGCAGCATCAAAGAAAAAATTCCCAATCAACAGAGCAAGTAAGTGTGACCACTGGGTAGCAACATGCTTGATGTCTTGATATGCAGCCAGTTCATGCAAGCCAAACCCAAACTTTGACCTCGCTCCCATTTGCCTGAGAGGACTTTAAAGCCTTTAATGTTTCCTTTCAGTTCATATTTATCTGCTGCAAGAAGGAAATCTCCCAGACACCATTAAAAACAACACAGATTGTTTTGAAGAATGCAGAAGGAATGTGCACTGCTTTTCGATTACAATGCCTGACGAAACGCTGCTCTGCTGTTCAGTTAGCGGACAGAGCTGATGATTCCCATCCTGACATTTGCATCAGAGCCTTTTGACGATCACCTGGACCATGTGTGTGAGTGTGTGTGGTATTCATATACTTAAGAGGATGAACTGACTTAAATAACATAGACAGTATTGTTAGAAAAACCATTAAATATGTGGATTTTTTTCAAATTGCTGCTTTGAGGTTACATTTTAAGGTCAGATTCAGGTTAGTTTTTAGTAAGGGTAAAGTCCCCATGTTTTAACTGAGTGATAAAATGATGTTTTATAATAACAATAATCTTATTTGATAAGGTGAACTTGTGCTTCACAATACAGCAAAACAAAACAGTAAGGTTATAAAATCCCCAGCTTTTAAAAGACAGAAAAAACACCCCACATCATTTGGAAATATACAAATATAGTCTATAAAAATTTTTAAAAGATTATCTTCAGGGGTTAACAACCATGAACTACCCTGGTTCCCCCCCGACTGGGTTGTTGTCTCTTCACCGTCTCTGCTAAAGACTTAAAAAGCCCCAAAATTGAACAGTAAAACGACGTTTCCAGGGTGAGAAGTTAATACACGCTTAAAGCAATAACGCACTTAAAAGTTCAACAATTAGTGGCTCCAATCTCACTGGAAATGGAAAAGACACTTCCATTTAATATGCTTATATCTTATGTAATGCAGTACGGGGGAGCGTTTGACTCCTGCTGAGAATCTGACAAAAACTGAACACTTTTAATCAAAACAGATCTTTCTGCATAGAATTAAACAGCTTTGATCTTCTGAAAGGCAGAGGAGGAAAAAAGGCATCAGTGAAACATAAAACAACCGACTCACCAAGTAACAGAAACATACTTAAAGGAATTGATCATTTATAGCATTTTAATATTTATAGATTTGGCATTTGGGAGAACTAATCTGGCATTAAAGGTTCTGTGTGCGACATTCAGAACCACTGGATGCCACCAGAGCAACAGCATCACAAACAGAACTGAAAGTAATCAAGCTGCAACCATTTGCCAACACTTGCTTTGTGAAGTACATTGAATGGACAGAACGAGTTGTGGCCAGTTCGAGTAGCGTTCACCTCACTGTACACGTGGTGTTTGTTTCTATCGGACCGGAGCAGACCTGTGTGCGGAAACAGATGCACAAAGACCGGAGTGGAACAAACATGAGTGGCGAATGAGCTGAAATGAGAGTTACACACAAAAAAAACCTTTATTTTTTAATTCCTTACATTTTTATGGAAGCAGCTGACAACTGGACTGCACTTTTGCTTATCAAATTCAAATGCTTTTGGCTTATTAATAAGCAAAGCTGCGGCCAACAGTTTCAAGTAGAGGGATTCACCTGCACTTTCATGCACAGGTGGTCTGACCGGCTGCCAAAGCTTAGAACAGAGAAGTTCAGACCACCAAGGACGCCATTATACTCCACTATGTCTATACACAGCAGATAGTTGTTTGCTGCTCTATTAATCCTATATTTATGTTTGAAATCTAGTATGTTGCACATTAAGTATATACATTTATAAACATTAGAACCCAGTAAAAATGGTCGGGCATGTAAAGGGAGCTGTGATAGCAGTGTTAACGAAAGTAAAGCCACACCTGAACTAAGTGTCACAGGCTTGTTAGGGAAAGTGCAGACAAAGAAAAAAAACAAAAACAAAAATATAGTCAATGTCTCACGAAGAAATACGCCAAAGAAATGAATTTAAAAAACTACAAAATGACACATGGAAAAGGGAAACAAATGGAAAGGAATCAAACAAAGCAACACTATAAACCAAAACCCAGAAACAACGACACCAACACAATGTTCTCGATACCAAATCAATCAACAAATGGCCAATCAGCAGTTTTCATAGCTACAAATTGATCACTGCATGATCTGTGCCGATGGTTGCTTTGGGATAAAAGCCATGAGTCTTCATAACTTGTTAGAAAACTGCAATCAACACATCCAGTGATTTTTGTAGACTGTTGCTTATTAGTTCTAGAAATGCTCCAAACAGCCTTATCGGGGAAAAAAAAAATCCTCATAAGTATATAAATACAGATGTGTGTGGATGAGTATGTGCACATATGTGTCTTGTATAATAACTTCACGCCTGTCTTCAGACTGGTGCACCAGGATGGCAGTCTGGCGGACCTCACCATGCTCAGCGCCAGCTCGGTGGACGCTGCGCTGCCCAGAGAGGAGGAGGAGCCTCGGGACAAGCAGCAGGAGGAGGAGCAGGGCGGCTGGGGGATGGAGAAGGAGCAGGCCCTGGTGGTGGTGATGGACAACACGAGCATGAGTAGCGAGAAGGCCAAGAGCTTCTCCGACCCGCGGCAGTCCAGCACAGAGGACAGCCACCACTGCAGTGCAGGGACCGAGCCGGAGCCGAGCACCGAGCAGAGCTCAGGTACCGAGCAGGTCCATCTTCAACATCCATCCATCCATTTTCTATACACCGCTTAATCCTCACTAGGGTCGCGGGGGGCTGGAGTCTATCCCAGGCGACTTAGGGTGAAGGCAGGGGACACCCTGGACAGGTCACCAGTCTATCACAGGGCCCGTCTTCAACATAACAGTCATAATTACAATTTTACAATTTAATTTAGCTTTTATCCAAAGTGATGTACATCTGAGAGTAGATACACATTCATACACCAGTGGTGACAGCTGCCGTGCAAGGTGCTGTCTGCCACTGGGAGCAACTTCACGTTCAGTGTCTCGCCCAAGGAGACTTGGACTGTGGAGGGGCGGGGGATCGAACCACCGACCTTATGATCAGAGGACAACCTGCTCTACCACTTGAGCCAAACCTACTTTGCAATTAAACGTCCTGCAACAGTTGTCATTATTACTATAATTTATTAATATAATGCAATCTGTTGATTAATCAATGATTCGTTTCGTCCATAAAATGTCTTAAAGTTTGACGAGTTCATGAACACAAAGATTATCCTCATAAAACACAACTCACTTTTTAAAAAGTAGTTAAATGAGCAAACATTTAGCATTTCTACTTGATAAATGACTTAAACCTTTAATAACTAATCAAAGCTGTTGGCAATTAATTGTCTTCAGCTCAGCAAATAGGTTAATTTAACCAATTCATCACAAAATGCTAACATCAGTGGTGCTAGTTTTTTTTGTGTAGCCGTTCCTCCTTCTTAAGCTCAGAGATGTGTTGAATATTTAATGCTGAAAAATTGGTTGAAAACTCTGGAGAACTACAAATGCATTGGTTTGTGTTTTTAATCCTAAATTTCTAACTCACAAGCAGTTTTCAGGGTTTCCAAAGGTACCACAGAGATAACAGGCATATGGTATAATATGAGCTACAGGCCGCTCTATAGTTCTAGGAAGAGGAAAACAGACCAGTTTGGTGAATAATAGCCTATTGAATGCTTTTATTTACAGCAAACAAAGTGATATAAGGCCACAGTATACAACTACAATAGAGACTGAACTTGCTGCTTTCTGCCGATCATGTTCACACCCAACACTCCCACCAGTCACTCATCTTGATTAGGAAACAGATGGTAAACGCAGTCAGTCTGCAACAACAAAAACAGTTCTTTGGTATTGTGGTTTTTAATGGGTTTCTGCTGTACTTTATGCTGTTCTACTCGTTTTTATTTATTTTTTGTTGTTGCAAAAAGAACAAGAGTCCTTGTGTGTGAATGAACAAAAAGCACAACGTCCTCCTGGGTGGGGAAGTTATTGAAAAATCCACCTTGAACTCTCTGAACCCCCAAACCTGCCAGGGGGTTTAAAGCCATGTTGTCTTTAAAAAGTCTTAAAAACAGCACCATATATCCGAGCCAGACACTGTGAAAACAAAAGGAATCATTTGGGTAACACTTTATAATAAATAATCTGTTATAACTAGTTAATAGATCATTTGTAAACTGTTGTAAATTGTAATTAGTGAGGTATTAACCACTTGTTAAGTGTTTGTTAATAGTTTGTTGATGATTTATAACGATGCCTTATAGATAGGTAATAAACCATTTACAAACTGTTAGTTAATAAGTTATAAATGACTTGCTAACTGTATATTAATGATTTACAGCCATACCTTATAAACCAGTCATAGATCATGAACAAACCATTAGTGAATTACTTACTAATGACTTGTTAAGTATCAGTTAATAGTTTATATATGCTATTGGGACGTTATTCTAAAGTTGCAACTAAGGTATGGCTGTAAATCATTAATACACAGTTGACAAGTCATTTATAACTCATTAACTAACAGTTTGTAAATGGTATATTAACTATCTATATGGCATTGTTATAAATCATCAACAAATTATTAACAAACACTTAACAAGTGGTTAATAACTCACTAATTAACAGTTTGCAAATGATCTATTAACTAGTTATAACGGATAGTTATTAGAAAGTGTTACCATCATTTGATTATCAACCCATGTGTGGTGTGCCGTTCTTTTGGAAAACGGAACCAAATAAAAGCCAAAAATGATGAAATTTAATCATTCTACTGCCTCATTTAAAATTTGCCAAAAATAAACTGTTGGCATGAACCGGATTCTCTAAAAATGTAAAAATTCTGCACTCTTAGCCAAGACATTAGCAACTCAGCTCCAGCCAACAGTAACCTGACAAAAAAATCAAGGACTTTTTGGCTACACTTCAGTCTGTGCTTAATAGAGACAATGTAGATTCCAGGTTTACTCAATTTTGTAAAGAAATCCAGCTTTGTTTTTTTTTAATGATTCATAGAGTTTTAACTTGGTCATTCTCTCCTTCTAGTCGTGGTTCTGCTGTTTCCACAGACGTGGGGGGCTTTATATTGCAGTGAAAAATGAGCCCACAGTGAGTAAAAATGTGACAGAAGATAAACCAAAACTGAAATTTCTCCGGGTTAAGAGCATTAAGGAAGCACAGTGTTTCAATAAAATACTACTGCGCTGTTGTCACATACTTATTAAAACACTTCAGTGTCAGTTTAAATAATGTGAATTCCTCTGTACGGCTGCTGTAAATGCATCACTGAGGCGGCCTGAAGGCTTTCTTGGCCTCTACTGTACATTATGTAATCACACAAGCATGTGGGTGTTGCGTCTCATGACTGTCTTTTCCGATTTTTCTTAATCAGATCACAGAAAAAAAGCAAAATAAAAAAACGTTGAACTTATCACCACACGGCTCACGTCGAGGCTGAATGTCTGAACGCATTTAAAACTCTCAACATCCTTTTTGAGATTTTATGCGAGTCTTTTATTTTGATCTTAAGTATATAAAAGCGTCCTACATTGCTGACTCTATTTACGTTGTGTTTACAGCCGAGACCTACGTGTGCTGTTATGTAGTTGCACTTTGCACTTTCAGGTTGAATGTGGAGATCTTTTCTGTCCGATCTCTCAGCCTTTAGCTCCTCTGTCTGCTCAAAGACCAAATCTCTCTGCCGCCGCCTGCACTCTCACCAGCCAGCCATTAATCATTGCAGGACAAGCTGTAAAAATCGGTTGTATTGCAGATTTTTGGGTCCGCTAGATTTATCTTCGGTTTTTTGCTCTGACACGGGACGTAGCTCAAGCGCTCACTTTCACCCATTACATCGTTCTACTAGTGCACCATTAGCATATTTACGCAGACAGCCAAACTGGCCTTAAATTAAAATGTAGTTTATATACACAGAAAATAAAATAGGTGATAAAACACAACCCTGCAGGACCTGTTAGTTTATAATATGCTGTAGGGTTATATGAGCTATATGCTCTCTCAGAGTTCTTATCCAAACAATGAGGCCTCTATTAAAACCTGAGATAATACAGCTTTTGTAGAAACATACCCCGGTACCACACTGCGGTTTTTATATCCTTTATGAGAATATAAAACTGAATATTAAGTCCTCATTCTCAGCTAATTAAAGCAACAGTTTGGAATCTGCTCGTTAATACATATTTGAAGAATGTTTCCGTTAATCTTGACGCAGTGCGCGTCGGAAAAACCACATAAACAAACCGACAGGTTCAGAAAACATGTAAAACACGTTTACTCCTGGAGTCGGTCCAGTCGGGTCCAGCTGGTGTTGAAAGTTTCTCACACAGGTTATTTTATTCATGATGATTAAATCCTTCACCACACAAAGTAAATGCAGAGTTAATTTTACTTGCATGTTTATGGTTGAATTAAATTTTCACATGCAAACCTCCTATAAAGTGCAAATGAATTATATAGCTGCTCCTAATAACAGTTACTTGTAATTCTTTATCAAAACAATTATTTTCTTAAATATCTGACAAAGCATTTGGTCTATAAATATCAGCTAATAGAAAAAAACAAACATCACAAATTCTCAGAGCCAAAGGTGACGTTTTACTTTTTTTGTCTTTGTATTTCGACAACAAAAGTCACCGTACTACCACAGAAGACAAAGACAAAACAGAAAACTGTACATATGAAAAGCTGAAAGAAACTTTATTGCAATAATATGTGTGCATGTGGGTCTCCTTTACTTGTCCAGAAACAGAAGACGAATGTGTTTAGAATCTGCACAGAGAAAACTACAGCTCCCAGAGCAATAGTGAGTCAAGCTTGTGCAGATCGAATCCTGCCTCCTGAGGCAGATTACAAGAAACAATGCAGACGGTAAAGCAGAGGTCACACCGGTGCTTATAGGATTATGACCTTTTATGAAGCCGATTACAAGACAAAGACCTTTAGCTCCTTCTTAGTCAGGTATGCAGCATGATTCAGACACTAATGAAGGTCAAATTACCAACATCAGAGTCAGACATATGTAATTAAACATATTTTTTTGCCATTCAGAGAGCATTCTGAGCTGCATAAAGGTCAGTCAGTGTAAAGATGAAACTACCACCATGTGTGTTTATACCTACTGTTGTCAGTGCATTTTTTTGTTGTTGTGTTGTTTATCTAGTTATTTAGGACACAAATTATGCATTAGTGTGTTTTGCAGTCTGGATAATGGCGACATGAAGGTGACAGAGGGATTGAATAAAACTACAGCAGCTGTTTTCATTGTGGTGGAGAATCATGTCAACGAGGGCAACGCTGGGGGGTTTGTGTCACGCTTTGCAGGTCTGTTGATCTGTTCACACCATCAAAGTTCAATAAATAAGAGTGCTTTTTACTTGATTGCTTCAGAAATTATTAATCGACTCTTTGTGTCGTGTGTGTTTTGAGCCTGTGGTTGGATTGTACCATTAGCGCCTGGAGGGGGGGATCGATGACACTAGGACAGTCACATTATGTATTATATGGTGCATCTGACCTTGCAATAATTTGTTAGCTACTTTATTTTGGGAGGCCTTGGAGACACATGTGAATATTAGTCGTAGACTGTAGCCATACACCAATGTTTTGTTGTTGTGGTCAGTGTTGTGTGTGGCAGCCTTTAATTACTTTCTTGAGTGTGTCTCTACTCCCATCCCACTACAGATGATCCAGAAGGGCTTCAGACATAGCCTATAGGCAAATAAATGAATTCATTATTAAATAAAAGAATATTTAATGTGTAATGTTTTCAATATTTAATGCATAATCAACAACATGCATGTGATGTGAGCAGGATCACATGAGACACCATGAAAAGTGCAACTGTCACCTAACACACACTCTAAACTTTGGCTTAGAAGCGCAGAAAGAAGTTTATTCTAACTCTGTAGTTTGTAGTTTGCTAATTGCATCGTTTCATTTTGCAACCTCATTAAGTTTTCACCTTGAAACATGATTATAATAATGTTATAGATAACATATTGTCAATAGCAGCTATTTAAGATGAACATATTGTAGTTCATTAAATATTGTATGCTTGGATTAACCATATAATCTATAATCTGGCTGTGTGACTGGATCCTTTGTGGATGCATGCTCCCCCACAAGCTAATGGTACAGTCCAACCACAAGCGCAAAACACAGAAATGAGAAATTAGAGTATTGAGTCACTGTTTTTCTGTTGGACTGCAAGGTGGAGCAGTGGTTAGCATCGTTGCCTAACAGCAAGAAGGTCGCCGGTTCGCGTCCCGGGAAGGACACCTGGAATCTTTCTGTGTGGAGTTTACATGTTCTCCCCGTGCATTATGGGTTCTCTCCAGGTTCTCACTTCAGACCACGAAGTCCAAAAACATGTTGAGGTTAATTGGTGATTCTAAATTGTCCGTAGGTGTGAATGTGAGTGTGCTTGGTTGTCTGTCTCTAAGTGTAGCCCTGTGATAGACTGGTGACCTGTCCAGGTGAACCTGCCTTCACCCTGAGTCAGCTGGGATAGACTCCAGCCCCCCATGACCCTAGTGAGGATTAAGTGGTGTATAGATAATGGATGGACGGATGTTTTTCTGTTGTTCTTGTTCTAAAAATCTAATTCTGAACCAACAACCCCAATGTGAACAATTAAAATTTAAACAATTATCCATCTGTGAAGTAATCAAAGCAGCAGAACATCATTTTTAATCCCATTTTTCATCGATTCATTCGGATCGTGCAGCAAAGGGCTGCAAAGCGTTACACGAATCACTGTGGCTCTTTTATCCGCTTTTTAAACTTTCTGGATGTCAATGCAGAGTCCGTGGCACAGACGGATAAGAGTTTTCATACTTTGAGTAAACACAGAATGCTTGTTAACTGGTGTTTTCATGAATTGTCGCAAAAAGATAAAATATCCCAAAGACAGATTCATACTATCAGCGCATTCCAGCTTCAGCTGAGGACACGAAGGCTGAAAGGAAAAGTGGTGATAATAGTGTTTAAACAGAGGGCATTCTGCTGTATTTAAGAGGTGAAACCTGGAAACACTTTACATTTACACCTCCTCAGTCTTGTTGTTGTTCCATTTTAGCGTATCTGGTTTTTATCTCTTCCTCCTTCTCAGATCTGAAGAACAAATGGCACCTGGTGGTCGACCGTCTGACTGTGCTCTTCCTCAAGTTCCTGGAATATTTCCACAAACTGCAGCTGTTCATTTGGTGGCTGCTGGAGATTCACATCATCAAGATCGTGGCCTGCTACATCATTCTGCACTCTGTCAAAGAGGTACGAAGGCTTGAGATGCGACTGGCTTCAGCATGTGAAGCAGTAAGGTGTCGAGTCTGCTTGACGTCTATATTTGCAGGAGCTCATCGGTTTCTAGACTGATCTGACTGCTATTCTTCGGTCTTGCTCTTGAATCTCTAGTTTTTACAGAACACATTTAAAATCTCTCACGTTTAAAGGAAACTGCATCGATGCGGCAAGATTCACAATCAAAATAGTTTTTCTCCTAAAGCAGACAGACAATCTAGACAATCTAGAAACCAAAAAATCAAGGTCATCATTTTTTGAGCTTGTGTTACAATTGTTGGTTTTTAATCACATTTTTGGACAGATGTTGTGACTGATGCTTAAAGGGTAAGTTCTGCAAGTGTGTCTAAAGCTTGGCACTTTGGGTTCAGAAGGTAAAGTGAGCTTGACGTGTATGTAAAGTTCATATTGTTGCATTTGCGACATTTACAAGATATTTTTCAGGCTGTTTTGCAGCTTGTTGGGAAACTTAAATGTGCCGTGATTAGTATTCAGTCTTGTTTTTGTCCACGTTTAATTACTAGCTGTCTTCTTCTAAACTGCCTTTACTGGCGTTTTGCAGCATATCTTGCCCTGTTAATGCTGTTTTATGGAGACTTAATTTCTCAGATATATAAATAATTGATTTCTTGCAACACTGGGACAGCTTGAACCAAGTCGAAATGAACCAGGACTGTCTGCTGCAAACACAGATAATAGTCTGGAGGTATTTAGGGGCAAATTCTGACAGCTGTTTCAGGATACTGAAAAATATTTTTAGGGTTATTTTGGAACATCATTGTGGACTATTTTGTCTGTCCCATTGAAAATTGCTTTTAAAGACTGAAATTCCAGCCCTTTTTTTGACATTGAGTTGTATGTGTGCCATTTTATCTATTTTTCTATTGAACGTGTTTAAAAATGCCACTAAATATTGGTACTAGTAGCTGTAGGAGGATGGGAAAAAGGAGAATTTTAGTGGAAAAAGGCTTTTTTTTTGTCCTCATCACCTGTATTGTCTCTTGTGCAGGTGTCTTTGTTCAACTCGGTGTTCCTGGCGTCCTGGGCCTTTGCTCTGCCTTACAGCCAGCACCGGCCTCTTGCCTCCAGTGTTTGCACTGTCTGGACATGTGTCATCATCGTATGTAAAATGTTGTACCAGCTGAAGTCTATAAACCCTGCTAGCTACTCCAAAAACTGCACTGAATACTTGGTAAATATTACAGATTGCTCTCTTTAAAACTCACCGTACATACAGCACTTACTGAATGAACATTGTGCGCCGTGCAGATGATTATATCAAGATTTTGGTGGTTTTGCAGCAGAATTCATGTGTTAAAAAGTTTAACCGGAGCCAATAAGACTTACTGTTTCTGTCCAGATATCAGGTGGCTATACAGCTGATGTTCAGAAAGAGTTGGAGGACTCTCTGCTGTATAAGAAACTTGTGGATCCGACCAACTGGGTGGGCCTGAGGAAGTCTGAAGACCTGCTGGGCTACCTCAGGGTGAGGAGTGGAAACCAGCTCAGAGAGGACACACACTAAACACAAGACATCGTCATCACTAGTAACCACAGGGAGTTATTTAATCCTAATTTTATCAGTTTGATGTCATTTTATTGGCATATGAGAAAAACTTGACCCACATTGTATTTAAACTGAGCTTTGAGATGCAAAAAGCCCAAAAGTATGACAAATGTCCATCGCAAGTTGTCAGAGGTAGAAGTGGGATCTCACAGCAGATGATTGAGGTTTTACTTTGATTTTCTTACTTTTAACAAATCCCACAAAAAGACCAACAATGTGCTTGTCAGAAAAAGAAAAAGTTTAATGTTTAATGTGAAAAGTATATTGTTGTTCCAAGATGTTTTTACATTACAATGAAAGAAAATAAGATCTTTTCTCGTTATTATGACATTAAAGCTTATCAAGTTCTAACAAGGCACTTTTCTTGTTTTAACAAGATGGTTTTTTCTGTAGTTGTTGAGCGTGACAGATGATATTTTAATAAGTCCTGTATTCATGAAGCGTTCACCAACACTCCCGCTGGTCAATCAGAGGGTCGGATTATTTTTCTTTTTCTGTACAGCTACATGCAGTTTAAAATCCTACTTTGTACATACATACTTGTCTCAGTATGACTCACTTATTCACACATTTCAACCCAAGCATGAAGCAGAACTTAATCATATAATGTATGAATCGTATTTAGTCTGTTCTCCAGACACTGTTTCCTCACTGAAAAAAAGAGTTTTACATTTTAATAATACAAGTTATAAACATTATATCACGACAAATCAAATAGTTTTGACCGTATGAAAGTATAAAGTCATTACATTTAAAACATTTTTTTTTTTAAATGGTTATAAAAAGAAACTTCACATTTTAATCAGAATCTGTTTTATTGCCAAGTGAACTTTTGCATATTTTGCATAATTTTACTTTCTTTTGGTGCATAACAGTGAATATTTGAAAATGTAGAATATTTTTAAATCATGATAATAGAATAGAATAGAATAGAACTTTATTGATCCCTTTGGTGCAAACCTCAGGGAAATTGTTGTGGAAGAAGAAAAACAACACAACACCAACACAACATCAGCAACAACAACAGCAAACAAAATAAGAAAAATGTTTTAAAAAACGCTTTAATAAAAACGTTTTTTTTTTTTTTTTTTTTTAATTAAGAGTTAAAATGTAAATCAACAGCAAATGTAGTAAATCCAAGGAAGAATCAAAATGATAAAAAGTTCTAGAAATCTTTTCCAAAGTGCAGGAATGTGCAAATTAATCACCTGTTAATGTGCACATTCTAAACCATTTTTCTTTTTCTGGTGTGGCCGCAATTATCCTCCGTAGTTACTCCAAAACTCTTCCTCTGGTGCCTCCAGCCAGGATGTAATCTTAAAAAATATGTCAGAAATATGTTTATTTGAAGAGATAACATTTTTTTTTTTAACAAAATCACATTTTAACAAACGTCCTCCCTGACCTTGTGTGCAGAACAACCTCTTGATGCTGGCTCTCTTAGCGTTCGAGGTGACCATCTACCGCCACCAGCAATACTTCAGACTGAGGAACAAGCTGTCGCCTCCCGCTGCCAGAATTATCTTCCACGACATCACACGGCAGCACCTGGACATCGGCATCGTCTGCTTCGTCAAATACTTCATCAACTACTTCTTCTACAAGTTTGGACTTGAGGTAAGGAGTGTTACAATAACGTGACGAACATGTGGACCATGTTTAATAGCTCTGTGTTTCCCTCAGACGTGCCTGCTGCTGGTGGTCAATGTGATCGGGCAGCGCATGGATTTCTACGCCATGCTCCACGCCTTTGCCCTGATAGCAGTCATGTACAGAAGAAGAAGGAAAGCCATTGCTGAGATCTGGCCCAAGTACTGCTGCTTCCTGGCCTGCATGCTTACGTTCCAGTACTTTGTGTGCATCGGGATCCCGCCTGCAGCCTGTACAGGTTAGGACTGATTTTACTCACAACAACCAGGTGGACAAAAGTGATTCTCAAAATGTAATGATACAAATGGTTTGACATTCAGTGCTGTGTCCTGCTTTGGATACCTGACTGGGCGAAGAATAGTCAGACAGAACAGAGCAATATCAGGCCAGAAACAACTGCTGTTATCAATTGAGGTGCACGAAAAATAAAAAAATTTAAAAAGTACCCACGTGTGTTACCAATAGTTGAAAAATTGTGGCTCTACATTCTGCAGACATGCCGCTATACTTTGATGTTTTAGTTTGTTTCCGTACTTCTCTCCTTTCTGTTCTGTGTAAACATGTAATTTTAGTCCATTTCAGCCAAAAGTCTCAGGATTTTTCTCACATGGCAGTTGGTTACAGCTGACTCCATCTTGGCTTCACAGTTCCAACAAGAAGCACAGAATTTTCAGTTTTTTACAGAATCGTATTAAAGCAAATTGTCTGTTTATGGCAAATTTTTCAAATGAGACACGTAGAGTCAAGTGGTCATGATAGTATCATAATTTAAGGCTCCAATTTGATTCATTTTCCTGTTGGAACCACATGTCACACTTGAATCCAATGGTTCTTTCTGTTTTTAAAGTTTCTGGCTGGATAAATTGTGCCATTTTAGTGATTTGGTGGGTTTTGGGGTTGAGAGGGTTAAGAGTGGACTTTTTTCCCCACCCTGCACGACATTGTGCTTTTGTGTGTTCATACACCAGGATTCTTACTATTTGTGCAAAAAAAAAAAGAGCAACTTAACATGAAGTACAACAGAAACCCATTGAAAACCACAAGAAGTGTTTTTTGACTGACTGCATTTACCATCAGTGATTGTCTTCTGTAGCACACAGTTGTAAACAACAAAGTTGATTCGGTGATTTTATGACACAACTAATGATTTAATTCTAGTGTAATCCAGTCCTATCCTTTTAAAAAAGACTCCTCATCCAAACATGATGTCTTGATGTTGTTTCTCCATGTGTCTGATGGTGATATTTTCTTTTCAGATTACCCCTGGAGGTCTCCCAACTCTACTACCGACTCTAACGTGGTCAAGTGGCTCTATGTTCCAGATTTCCTCACCGAGCCCAATCCATCATTCCTCATCTGTACGTTTCCTAGCTACACAGGAGATGGGTTTAAAGTACTTTTTGGGTTTTTTACTTTACTACAAGCAGCATACACAAGACAATGTCAAGACAATGTCAAGACAATGTTGTGACATAATGCATCCAAGACAACAGCTGCTGCACATTTTAAGCATAAAGGTTTATGATCTCCATTACAGACGTCACAGAACCAAACTAAACATGGCAGTAAAGACCTTGTAGGTGTGATTACACATTAGGGATTTTGCCCTACAAAAATACTATAAAACACTACTGTAACTGACTATGCTATGTATTAAAATGGTGCTAATTTGAATTATTTTACATAATTTTGAGTCCTTTTAACTGCAACACTACATCATATACGTACATAGACCAGTACTTTGAACATCATGAAAAAGTTAATTTAATTCAGTGTAATATTTGTTTTACTTTTGTTGGTTATGGCTAAAGAAAAATAGCTAAGTGACTAGTAGCTAAAGCTGACAAATACAAATCTGCTCCCAAACTGTAGTGGAATAGAACAATAAAGTCGCCTGAAACAGACATATTCAAAGTCAAACAATTGCATCTTTTATTGGGAAGATGAAATGCTGTTTGTAGCTAAATTCATGCTGATTTATTTACTCCGATATCTAAAACCTCTTCGCTTCTCATCTCATCACATCGACTCCCATCTCATCTCTTTTCGTGTAATTTCATCTCCTCATCTCCTCTCCTCTCATCTCCTCTCATCTCATCTCCTCTCCTCTCCTCTCATCTCATCTCATCTCATCTCATCTCATCTCATCTCATCTCATCTCATCTCATCTCATCTCATCTCGTCTTTCTTCCTTTCCAGATGACTTCATGTTGCTGCTCTGTGCCTCTCTTCAGAGGCAGATCTTTGACGATGAGAACAAAGCGGCCGTCCGCCTCATGGCCGGTGATAACGTTGAGATCTGCCGGGACTTAGATGCAGCCTCCTTCAGCGTCCACAACCCCGTTCCTGACTTCATCCACTGCAGGTACATGAGCCGACGCTGACAGACTGTACACATGGATTCCATTTTCAAATCATTTTAAATTAGATTGACTTGATGAAACAGTTGTCATCGTTTTGGTGCCACTGCTTGGCTTAGCCGCCATTAACACAGAAGACAACAACAGCACGCTGAAATGGAAAGGAAGCGATGTCGGCAGCTTAATTGGTACTTAAGGATGCTGGATGGCTACAGTGAAGTCAAAAGTGCAACGTGTTCCACACATGTAGAGCTATTAATAGCTACTCAGTTACAGATCAGTTCTTTCAATGTGTAATTGAAGTCTTTCAAAAACATTTTATAGTCAAATACTAACTTTAAAGATTTGACCATTTGGTTCAATGGCCCTGGTTTAATTCTACCCATAATGGTTTTTTTATATGTCTTTTGCTTAACCTTCTAAACTGGAAGCTTTTTTTGTTTGTTTTTTTTACACTGCAATATAAAGTTCTTCACCTCTATGGAAAACATGCAACCATGGTTAGAATTAGAGAGGAGTAATGGTACATATATAACAACATAAATCATTAAAGAAAAGAAAAAAACCCACAAAAGTTGGATTTTTTTGTGTGTGCAGAAGTTGTAAAACCTGGAATCAGCATTATTCTACGTGTCTGCATTTGTTACCAATATTGGGGAAAAAAATTGTGGCTCTACATACTGTAGTTGTTTTAGTCCTTATATTTGTAAGCACAGGCTGCAGTTCAACCAAGTCAGACAATTAGTTCCTGAATTTTTGTAATAAGATTATCAGTTGCAGCTAAGTGACTGATGGCGTTCTAGCCAGCCTTCTTCAAAAGGTTTATTTTGGCAGAATTTTTAAAGGAATTATTCGACTTCAATAAAATATCACAACTTTAGGTTTAGATTTGGTTACGTTTTCTGAAAAAGCAGCAAGTCACAGATGATTAGTTTAAGGAAATTAAGATTTTTTATAGTCTAGTCTAATTTTTTCCAAAGCAACATGCATTTCAGACCTGCTAGCAGGTTGTGGGGTTCGAAGGGGGAAAGAGCCTTGCTGAATATAAACTTTTCAACCTTGTTCAGGTGTCCTTGTGGTGCGTTTTTTATATGCTGGAAGACAAATCATGAACCGATCCTGTCAACCTGCAGGGTGGAGCTTTCTCTATCATAAGTCTTCTTAAGAATCAATTTCTGGTTTCGAGCATTCACGACTGAATTATTCCAATATTCCAACTTGCTATTGGGTAGTTTATGGAAGTGCTTCAGTGGTAGAGCAGAGTTGTAGGTGAGCTGGTGTGCTCGAGCTGCAGTGAGGGGTGAAGAGTGGGTCGAGACAGATTGTAGCGGAAGTAATAGCGTAGAGTTAGAGTTCCATGTTAAGGTGTGAAGGGATCGTTTTTTAAAGAAAAAACTTCTAAATAGGCAACATTGTGTATATATGCAAAGTTGGAAAAGGTCAAAACGTTGTTAAAAGTAATAACAGACAGTTCAGCAGAGTAAAAACAGGAAAGGCTTCCTGGTAAAAGTATGTTTTACAAAGAGACTGAAGAGAGATCACTGACTTCAAACTGCAGAACTAACATTTTCTGAAAGTTGTAATACAGGGAGCAGTTTAGCTACTGACATTATTCTTCATTATTCTAATAATTAATTATTCTGTAGATGAATAATGATACAGAAAGCCTCAACCTGCAAGATGACGGGATTGGTTCTTTAGGTTTGTAAAGTATGAAACCATAACGGAACAGAACAGAACAGAATAGAATAGAATGTACTTTATTTATCCCAGACCTGGGAAATTATTGTAAACAGCAGCATCCAAGAACACAGAAAGAAAGTACAATAAAATAACAATAATTAAGTAATATTCATCCACAGCAGGTCCAAGGCCCCACTGTCTCCGGTTGGGCTGTCCACATACTGGCTGAATGTGGGGAGAGCGATGTGTGGTTAAAGTCACCTGAGATGATGATCAGAGACAAAAGTCTAAATAAAAATGAAAGTCTGAATCGATGATTTTGAGACTGTCATCGGCAAACTGCAGCTTCAAGGCAGAAATCCTCAGCAACTGACTTTTTATTTCATTCATGGTACGTCTTCTAGCATATAAAAATCACCTATTTTTACCTTGTTAAGATTGAAATATCATCATAAAGAACCTGATTTCCAGCAGAGAGTGTCTTTAAAACCGCTGCAGGCCCAGAGGAGCAGCCTGGCAACAAATGGTTGTACATCTGAGTCCCTTCACCGGTCAGTTAAAATTGGATTAGAAAAGCCAATATGGATCTTTCTCCCAAATTTCAACAACAAACGCTAATGCGCCCCTGACTGAAACCCTTTCTGTTCACCCCATTCTGTCCATTTGAGCTGTTCAGAGGCCCACTCAGAAGAAGACTGTTGTTGTATTTGGCTGCTAACTGTGTAACCGTAGAAATCTTAAGTGGGGCGGTGCTGAATAAGAACACACTCGCTCAGCAAATCCTTTATCCTACATAAATACAGGTAAGAAAAACACCCAGACGGATGACAGTAGCTCATGTCAGTAGCTTAGCGAGAGATGTTATTGAACACCCAGTGTATACATAATTTAGAATTCTGGCTGTCGTCCGATATGTTGATCCAGAGCTGGATGCCGACCTTGCACATATAAAAACCAGCGAACACGGGATTTCGAGAGCGAGTTTGAAAGACGGCGAGAGCATCCTGACCCGTCCACGGCCATTGATTATGTGCTCTTCACATTCCACTGTTTTGATGCGCAAAGTGGACAAGTCTTTTATTAACGCACTCTGTGTCCATCAACAAGCGCAAGTAGAACGAGAGCGAGAGCTGCAGAGCCCGTCTGTCCACAGCAGCTCTGCACTTATTCCATCGCTTCCCTCCAGGATCGAATTACGGATACGGGGCGGGCGGGGGGAGAGAAATCCATAATCCACAAAAACACTCTGTCCGTCACTCCACGACTCAGACGCTTTTGCCCTGTACTCTAACTCAATAAATAGCTTTCAAGTATGGAAAAGGTATTTTCTCCCCCCTGATGAAGAAGGACACTCACTCAGCTGTTCCGGCCCGATTCCACTTCATCAGGGCTGCTTCCTAAACACTGTGGTCCCACGTCCATCAAATCAATGCATCCTATGTTTTCGCTCTGCACATCACACGCTAACATGGGATCCACACGCATGCTTTTAGCGTGTTAGACACACAGGAGTCGGGCACCTGTGCTGAGTGACAGGATCAGGTTGCACTCCGAGTCCCGTCCATTGATCAGACTCCAGCTGATACGCTAAGTGTGACTGATGGGCGGATTACAACACAGCAACAGAGCAAACTGAAGTGTTGTTTTGACTTTCATTATGTGGTAAACATGTATCCTCACCTGTGTTTGCAGCTGGCTGAGGTCCACGGTGTCTAATTCCACCATCATGGGACTGAAAACAGCTCATTAGCTCGCTCCATCTTCCGTCTTTCCTGTTGCCTGAGTGCAAAAGGCCTCATTTAGCAAACTTCCTTTGTAAATATAAATGTGTCTCTCTGCACTAATTTTGAATAAAACCAAAACAGGGACCAGAAAAACTATTGCCAGAGAACTAAACATTCAATTTTCACTAATTACTGTCACTACTTTTCCAAATTTACACTGTGATATTTTCCTCTCGTTTTTTTTGTATAAACCTCAATCCCCGTTTTAGCTTCCACTGAGGGCATGTTGGTGTGATTTTGAAGTTGAAAGAGAAAACAGTTGAAGTGTCTGAAAGTTTATTTTTGATCTGGAAGTGTTTTTTTTCCCCCTAAATATCTATTGACTAACATCCTAAAGGAATCTTGTATTCATTGGTAAATGGAGGTTCTGTGCTTAGTTCTGTTGTTGACATAAATATGAGCTGGTTGAAAACTGTAGAAAAAGGTAGATATTATTAACTTTAACTTTATGCAGCTATTTATGAATGAATTACTGAAAATAGACAGTTTGTTAAAGCTAGCTCATTAATCCTCTTAACCTCAAAACATGTCGGCAGGTTTCAAAGGCATGTTGTCTTTAATAAAACCACTAAAATGACACAATTTGTTTTATGTATCAGCCAGAAACTGTAAAAACTGAACAAATCGATGGATTCGTCGTCAAAGGGTCCCTGATATACTCATCTGTGATGCTACTTAACCAAGTCTAAGCTTAAAGTCATGACATTTTATTAAAATTCCTTTGCTATGTGTGTCTCATTTTTTAAAAAATCACCAAAAAATAACCCAGATTTTGTGAAAAACTAAAACTTCTAGACTCATCGGCGCAACTGTGAAGCCTTTCGTGAATCCACTGCGACCAACAGTCACATGACCAAAACTTCAGGAGCTTCGTGCCTGAACTGGTTGAATTGCAGGATGTTCACAGAGCAAATAGCAAATTAAAAATCTAAGTAATTAAATGTCTATTGTATGTACAGTCACCACTTTTTTTCCAGTATTTCTAAAACCTGCAACCCCTGGAAAAATGTTGTACATGTTTATTCTAGGCTTTAAATTTTTTTAAATTTTTTTGTATAATCAAGGAAAATCAAGGTGCAGGACTTTATAATGCAGTGGAAAAATGAGTAGAAATGTGACAGGAGGAAAAAACATCCATCATCTCCTTGGAGTTCTGAGCGTTAACAAACACTTTACCTGCAATATTGTGAGGATATTTGGGGTATGTTGGCGAATTAATGGATTGTTCGTCTATAAAACGTTCCCACAACTGAAAAATCTTTTGGTGAAAACATTTCTAGAACTGGGCAGAAACTAGTGTGGTTTTCAGAACAAAAAAAAGAAAGCCTGATGTTGCTTTAAAAAATGTCATTTTGAATTGAACACGCTGCTGTCTTGGTCTGTAGGTCCTACCTGGACATGCTGAAGGTGATCATGTTCAGCTACCTGTTCTGGTTCGTCCTCACCATCATCTTCATCACTGGAACCACACGAATCAGCGTCTTCTGCATGGGCTACCTAGTGGCCTGCTTCTACTTCCTGCTGTTTGGAGGCGAGCTGTTGCTGAAGCCAATCAAAAAGATCCTCCACTACTGGGACTTCCTGATCGCGTACAACATCTTCGTCATCACTATGAAGAACATTTTGTCTGTGAGTAATCTGAGGACGACAGGAAAACACCTTCATATATACAGTTCATATTTTAAATCATTTGCCTGCACGGATGTTTGCAATTTATGATACAGAGTTCACTGAAAACTTTTTGTGTAAAATTAAAAATAATAGCGCATATGTGCACAATTAATAAGATAAGATAAGACTTAATTGATCTGGAAGGAAATTCTTGTGCCAGATGTTGCACAAAAAAGTGAGTTAATATAAGGCTAGAATAGCACAGAAAAAAAAGTAAAGCTGGCTTTTATACTCAGGTAATATCACACATGCTAAATCAGGGGTGGGCAGTCCTGGTCCTCGAGGTGCCACAGTCCTGCATGTTTTAGAGGTTTCCTTCTTCCAACACACCTGATTCAAATGATCAGCTCATCATCAAGCTCTGCAGAAGCCTGATAACCATCCTGCTCATTTGAATCAGGTGTGTTGGAAGAGGGGAAACATCTAAAACATGCAGGATTGCGGCCCTCAAGGACCAGGATTGGACACCCCTGTGCTAAATGAAGAACAAAATGAAACACTGCACCTGAAAAATGAGATGGAAATTAAAATGAAACATGGCATTGACAGTGTTGGACATGTAGTCAAAGTGCTGCAAATGAAAATGAAACACATGATAATGAAATATGCCACAATAAACTGAAATATTACACTTGAAAACATATGAAATATTGCACATTACATGAATGGAAATGCTGCTCATGATACAGAAGCTGACATTGCACAAACTGCTGAGAATTTGTGAATTTATCTTGATTTTGTTAAATGTTTTTAGAAAATCACATTTTAACATTAACAATTGTTTTTCAAGTGTTTAATGAAGGAGTCTTGTTCGTAGATCCTGGCTTGTGGCTACCTGAAGCATCTGATGAAGAACTCATGCTGGTTAATCCAGCTGTTCAGTCTGGCGTGCACCATCAAGGATTACAATCAAGACACCAGCCAGAAAGACACACGTGAGTGAAGTCAACATTTTGCTTTTACCACCGATGTCCTGTCACTGCTGCAGGTGGTGAGGATGTGTTCCCTCAGAAGCTGAAATTAAACCCTTGTTTATGTGGTTTTTCATCTTTGCAGGAAACTGATGTACAGTGATTAGAAAATTAGGTTCATTCATAATCAGAGCAACATATTCTTGAGAGTCTCGGCGGTTTAGGCTCATAGATGTCGTCGTTGTCACCTGTCTTTGAAAGTAAACGCTGTCAGATTCCCTATTTTGAGTGTTATTGTTTCAGGAGTAACTTTTCGCATCCACTGCACAGTTCAAATCAGTTTCCACCACTATACCTAGTTACTGGCAGTCATTTATTGTGATGTGAACACATTAGTACATTTTTTGTAATGAATTTGTATTAAAAAGATTCCTATGGTTGTGTTGTATGTCCGTTCCAGCTGCTGCCGAGCAGTGCGACCTGCCCAACGACGAGGCCGGCATCATCTGGGACAGCATCTGCTTCGCCTTCCTGCTGCTGCAGAGACGAGTCTTCATGAGCTACTACTTTCTCCACGTGGTGGCAGATATCAGAGCATCGCAGATCCTCGCTTCCAGGTACTCGACCAGAAACTTAGAGAATCCTGAATAGAATTCTGTAGCATGTAGAGCTCTTTCCTCCAGAGAGCCAATCATCTGCTTTGCAACAGGTGAAGCAGGACACACTGGGCCCATCGTGTTGTTGCACTGATGCAAAAACATCTTTGGTGCAGTATAGCATAGTTGGAATAAATGACAAGAAGAAAAAACATTAAAGGTGAATTTCTTTGATTAGCAACAGTTGTCCTCAAATGTATTCATAACCTTCCATTAAAGAAAAGGCAAAATTCACAAAAGTCACTCAAATAAGTAAAAAACAAAAAAGTAATAATAAATAAAAATTTGCTAAATTGTAATTTAGTGAAATAAGACATTGCTTTTGAATTGTGGTTGGAAAGAATAATTGAAAAAAAAAAAAAAACTGTCCTGGACAAATTAGAGCACTTTGCTGATGAGCAGTGGACCAAAATCTAAATACCTGTCAACAGGTGCAGACGTCTGACGGAGAGTTACAGAAAACACCTGATTGGCTCAAAGGGTTGTTCAACAAAATGTTAGTTTACAGGTCCCATCATGCTTGTTTGCTTGTGTTTTATTTTTTTTCTTTTCATATTTCTGTTGAACCACAATTCAAAAGCAATGTCATGATTTTTAATACATTTTTATTTATTATTGCTTTTGTCAATTTCAACTTATTTCAATGACAGCTGTGTTTTTCCTTCTTTAACGGGAGGCTATGAACACATTTAAGGACGACTGTATGTTTTAAAAATGGGAAGAAAAAAATGGAATTAACATGTACAACATTTTCCTAAGTGGCCACAGGTTTTAGAACAGCTGGAAAGAAAATTGTGCATCTACAAACTATAAATGAAGACTTCATTTGCAGAAACAGATTTTGTGGATTTTCAGGAAATGTATTTATTTTGTTGCTTGCTTGAGATAATATCAGTCAAACTGAAGTTGAGTGGATTTGACTCAGTAGAAATGACATGACAACAATAGAGATAACTTCAGTTTAATTGATATTATCTCAGGTAGACGATGGAACAGAGGGTTTTCTGAAGGTTTGTGAAGATGGAGCTATCTGTTTTTGCAAATGAATTCTTCAAATATTTTTCTGCTTTCAGTTTTTTTTTGTTTCCATGACTGTCTTCTCTCTGCTTTGTGGAAACACTGCGTGCAGTTCAGCTGAATAGACCTTCAGCTTTTGTCAAATGACTGTTGGTTGCCGCTGAGCTTCCTGGTGGCACAGAGGGACACTTTTGTTTTGTTGTTGTTTTTTTTTTACAGGATCTGGTGCAAAAGGTCAATTTTTGCAGAATTTTTAAATGAGTCATGAAGAATGAAGTAATTAGATTTAATTAAATATCCCAATTTTGAGCTTAGTTTTCCGAGATTTTTCCGACTGAACTGCTCGTCACACAAGATTGTTTTTACAGCTATTTATATTTAGATACAATAAAATGAATTACTTTTTTATCTGAACGTAAATAAGGGGGGGCTGCAGTTGGTAGCACTGTTGCCTCACAGCAAGAAGGTTGCCGGTTCGTGTCCCGGTGGGGGCACCGGAATCTTTCTGCGTGGAGTTTAGATGTTCTCCCCGTGCAGTGTGGGTTCTCTCCGGGTTCTCCGGCTTCCTCCCACACAGTCCAAAAACATGTTGAGGTTAATTGGTGATTCTAAATTGTCNGCAGAGACGAGTCTTCATGAGCTACTACTTTCTCCACGTGGTGGCAGATATCAGAGCATCGCAGATCCTCGCTTCCAGGTACTCGACCAGAAACTCGCCACGTAGAGAATCCTGAATAGAATTCATGTAAAGCTCTTTCCTCCGGAGAGCCGATCATCTGCTTTGCAGCAGGTGAAGCAGGACACACTGGGCCCATCGTGTTGTTGCACTGATGCAAAAACATCTTTGGTACAGTATAGCATTCAAATGATCAGGATCGTTATCAGGCTTCTGCAGAGCTTGATGATGAGCTGATCATTTAAATCAGGTGTGTTGGAAGAGAGAAACATCTAAAACATGCAGGATTGCGGCCCTCGAGGACCAGAGTTCGACACCCCTGATCTAAGTTACAGTTCAGCCTTTATTTATTGATTAATGAATGCAAAATGACAGTGTTTAACCGACTTTACATTACACACTAATAATTTAGCTGATGTTTTTCTCATGTGTGCGTTTCAGAGGGGCGGAGCTGTTTCAGGCCACCATAGTGAAGGCGGTCCGAGCCAGACTGGAGGAGGAACGCAAATCTGTGGAGCAGCTGAAGAGACAGTGAGACTCTAAATGTTTAACATTCATGTTGCGTAACGCTGTGTCTGTGCGTAAACAACACTTGATTTGGCACGACTTTAAATTGTTAAATAAATTATGGTTAGTGCTCATGACTTAAAATAATTCTGCCGACATCTCGCTCTGGATTCCAGTTTAGTATTTATTTAGAGCCACTCCAGAAAAGAGGCCTCTGCAAAGAAACAAGGATTTTTTTGAATCGAGGAATTATAAACCCACAGTTTTTATAATTCCTTTCTGCTACTGGGATAAAATTCAGGATAACTTTTTTCTCACATTGTACTTGCTATAAGATAAGATAAGATAAGATAAGATATGCCTTTATTTATCTCACAGTGGAGAAATTCACGTTGTTGATAGCAGCATTAACACAGAGATACACATATCTGAGACAGAAAAAAAATGTACATATAAATATAAGTATATAAGTATTGCTATGATGGGCTGTTTTTCTTTCCTCCTAATTTTCAAAGTGTCGCTGTCAACAAATCCCACGAAATGATCATAATAAGTATTTCTCAGCCTCCCTGCCTTCTTCGTGGCACTCACCTGCAAATGCATTTACTCCTTTTCTTAAAAAAAACCAAACTGTCAAAAACATATCATAGCAGGGATAATTAGTGCATCTGCTGTGGCCTGTTTTTTTTTTTTTTTTTACTGTTGCATTGATGCACGTTTAATGAGAACTCACAGCAGCAGGATGATGTATGTGGGACAGCAGTGTGTGTGCTTATAATAATGAAGGACAGTGTCTTCCAGTGCAGCGATGTGGTGTCTTTTAAAATAGTTTTTAGACAATAATTGAGCTGTGCAGCACACATGAATAGAGACTGCTCCGGCACTTCTCCTCAGTGGAGTCAATTTATTGTCTAATTGGATTTGCTGACAAATTGAGAAAGTTTAGAATATCACTTCAAGGTAAGCTCAGACAGAATGCTTATGTCTGTTTCAGGGTTGTAAATGCCTTTGATGAGTCTCATTAGGTCTAATTTAGCAAGTAAACATGACTGGGAAAGCTTGTCGTAGACGACGAGCATCTCCTGGCTCAGCCTTTATGATTTCCTGGCAGCCAGCTCTTAGTATATGATGCGACATAACGGTTATGTATTTCCACCACTTATAGTTAGCTCAGGAGTTACTCATCAGCTCTCATAGTATCCGATCTCTAATGAGCACTCGCTTTTACACATCGTACACTGATTTCCACATGAAGCCCGGAGATGTTTGCAGTCGGGGCTGTTAGGATGTTTTTTTCTGTGCCGACGCTTCGTGTCTCTTCACCGTCTCTCTGATCCAATCAGGATGGAGCGCATTAAGGTGAGGCAGCAAAAGTTTAAAAGAGGCAAAGAGAAGATGCTGAACCTGGCGCAGGAGTCTGGAGAGGGGCAAACGCTCGTCCAGCCGGCGGCGGAGGACGACGACGATGATGGTATGATGAAGCCTGCTGGGGCCTCTCACTGTGTTGGTGTAATAGTAGTATTATTGCTCATTTGCTCAAGGAAGGTGGGTGTGAGTCTGTTTCATCTAATTAACCCTCTGAACCTTTGAAGGTGTTCCTGTCCCATTTTTACTCACATTTTTCACTGCATTGTAAAGTCAAGCACCTCAATAGAAACAGCACAATTATTGCTGAAAGTAGAGGAAACTCAAACATCACACAGTTATAATGCCATAAGATACAAAAGAAAGTTGACATTTTTTTTCAATAAAAACTGAGCAAACCTGAAATCAAAATGTACAAAATTACCCACCATCATTGTGAAAAAAGGTTCCTCAGATATGTAATTTGTTTCTGTAGTTTGTCTCTTGTCTACAATTCAGTCTAGTTCAGCAAAAAGTCCCAGAATTTTTGTCACATGAATGTTCAACTCAGAAAAGTCCAAATTATGTGCAGCTTAGTTGAGATCTAATGCCATGAATCATAAAATGAAATCTTTGATGATTTATTTAACAAGATTTGGAGAAACTTGTAGCGTTACCAACACTGGAAACATGGTGGCTCTACACACTAGAGATAGTTTACTGTTTATACTTTTAATTTGTTTGTATGTTTGTCTCGTATTTCTTCAGCCTGCAGTTTAACCAAGAAGTCCCCGAGTTTTAAAGCAAGTTGTTAATTTTTTTGCATTTTTTAAAGAATGTGACATTAAAATAATAGAGTAGAAAAAAAGTTGATGAAATATGAAAAATATAAGTTTGAATTTGGTTACGTTTCTCACTCATGAGCTATTCAAGGACTGTCTAGAGTTGATAATCTGATCATTTTATCTGTTCTTACCGTTTCCTATAAACACAGTTTGCAGCTCAGCAAACAAAAGTCTCTAATTCTTGTATCATGACTCTTGGTTGCAGCTAAGTCACTAATGGCTTCTCATATTTGTCAAGGAGCACAGGTGTTCTTGTTTTGTTTTTTTACAAAAATTGGTTGTTCCAAATGGTTTGTTTTGGGGATTTTTTTTTAAATAATAAAGTGATAATAATAAAATGTCAAAATTTTATGCTCACATTTGAATAATTTTCCAAACAGAACAACTCATAACAGATGAGCAGGTGAACATCTGTCAAAAAAAGTTAAAAATCTGACTATTCTTGCTGTAAAATGATGTGATTTTGGCCTCAACATGCTTTTTAAACGGCTCTTTTGGGGTTCAGAGGGTTAATGACATAATGAATTGAATGAAATGTCTTTTCCATCAGTATTTAAGCTAAAAGAGCAGCTTCATATAGTGGAAATAAAGTTTGCAGTGAAAGAATTGATTTTCTTATGAAATGTTGCCTTGATGTATTTGTGAAATTTTAGGAGCACAGCGAACGAAAGCCAAGACCAAAAAAAAGCAGTGGTGGAGGCCGTGGGTTGACCATGCTTCCAGTAGGTTGACCAATCCAAACCCCCCTTTTTTCTCTTCCTCCACTCTGATTGGCCCTTGTGTCCTTGACCAGAACGCTGAGGATTCCCATACTGCTCCTGGGGCTCTGAAGGCACCAGTAGCTTTTCGCTCGCCTCCAGACTTTAATCGTTTTCTGTCTCTATTTAAGGGTCCTGGTTACCTGTAGCTCTCGCGTAGCTTCACCCTGCATGTGTGGAGAAGCACTCCGGGTTTGAGATTAAAACCGTGTCAGAGCAGGGTTGCCTTAAATAGACATGATGAGACCATGAAGAAGGAGAAAATGACTAACGGCTGGAGGTCGACGTCGTTTAAAACATAAACTCCATCTCTGGTCTCACCTGAAGAGCCCCCAGTAGAGAATCTCTGTGTTGTCAAACATTTTCAAGCAAAGACATGAAGTCGGCTCGCTTTTATTCTCAGCACCGGAATAAAGGACGAGGGGTTTCTTCATTCTTTGCCTGCAGACATGATCCCCAAACAGGTGTTACCCAGGAGAAACAGCAATTGGCCCGCCGATCAAATGTATAAAACGATGGCCTTAACCGTCACTTTGTGGTAAATCAAAGGCTTTTGTGTGAGCGGCTGCAGCGGTGGCCTGTTTGGTTTGAACTCATGTCTCATACTCCAACCCCCCACATGACATTTTCAAATTATTTTATCTCTCTGTCATTTGATGTTTCATCTCCATTTTCCCAGCATCCTCCCTCATCTCCTGCCCACTGCGGTTCTGTTCAAGGACATAAGTCAGCCTTGTCTATCCCATTGCTTCTAACACGACTGTAGACTGGAATCGCTCACTCTGTCAATTAGCTTAAAGGCGACTGTGCGCTCTGAAACCAGAGACTTTGACAGATACTCTTCATTGTGCTTTGTGCTCATAGTTATTTCAGTTTTACTAACGTCTGCGATGTGCATTTTCTGTGTTTCAACCATCTTTTTGAAGTTGTGTCTGTTTCATAGCTATCAGAAGGTAAACTTACTTTAGAAGAACAGAATGTAACGCTACGTCTTCCCTTCAGCGAGGGAACCTTCTCTGATCCTTGCTTTAATGTCATGAAAAGTGACTTCAGCTCTCTGTCTGAGTGTAATAACGCTGCGCCTTTTGCCCCTCAGTGGTTAGAAGTGGAGACTATTACTTGTTTGAAACTGAGAGTGAGGAAGAAGAGGAGGAGGAGGAGAAAAAAGACGAGGAGCCGCCAAAGAAGTCGGCGTTTCAGGTGGCTCATTTTATCGTTGGTTTCGGGGCCTTTATCTGTCACATAAATGTTGTTTCACAGGTGTTTGTTTTTGAAGACACTCAAATGGCAGTCTTTCTATTTTGCATGACAGAGGGAGATATTGTTCTTTTTGCTCCGGTGTGTTTCCTAAAAGCGGCTATTCATTATAAGATTTACCGCCTAGGAAAGGATGCATTGCTGTTTTAAAACACAGACTACACAGGGTGACATTTCCTTAGTGTGTACTGCTTTTGACAAGTTAGTAAATGTTGTTTTTTTTTCTGTTGAGTTTTCGCAGCCTGGCGTAGACATGACACTTCATAACACTTGAGTGGAGTGCACGGCATAAGCACGTCGATTGATTTATCATGTTGTAACAACAGCTGCAGACTGTTTCTCTGACATATTCCTAGAAAAAAAACCCTCCCCTCATCCCTTACACACCCACAAATGTGTAGAAACCAAACACTGCAGTTATGTGCATCTCTTTAACTAAAGTCTTGCTATGAAGTAGAGTTTTTCAGTGTGTAGTTTTACTTCTAATGTGCTTTTTGTTGTTGTTTTCTCAAATTAAAAAGTCTTTTAATTCTATATTTTTACACTGTGATATTCCTGCTTTGCAATGAGTTCTGGTTTTGAACACTAACGCGCTTAAACTGTGTATAATCGCCTGTATTTGGGTTACAAAATCCTCCTCTTGTCTACCGTCTCCTCACACATTTAACCTCTTGTGTTTCTAACAGTGTGAAACCTGATCCCACTAACTCTCCCGCACTGTTCCCTCTCTTCAGCGAGCGATCGGGAAGTTTGTCTCCGCTGTTCTGGCTTTGCCCAAGTCTATCATTAAGCTGCCTAAAACTGTGCTGCAGTATGTAGTGAAGGCAGGAAAGGTACTCACCTCCAATCTAACGCTGCTCGCCGCTTTTCTGTGTGAATGCCTGCCAGCTTAAATAACAACAACACTGCAAACGGCCCCTTCCAGCGCATGTTTGGTGTTCTACATTAATAGATGTGTGTATTTACACAGCAGGGAAACACTGATCGGGCAGAAATCATCCAATTTGACCTGGAATGGAAACGCTTTAGTTCTGGATGTTGTCTGACTGAGTGGCATGATGTGTTTGTGTCTTTCTGTGTGCTCTGCTGCTGAGGAATTATTCGCTTTTTGGCATGTAATGGGTGGTTTCTTTTGGTTTCTGCTGGAGGATGTGTGTTGTTGCTGGTGGTGTTTCAGTACATTTAAAACAAAAAAAAGTTCATGCACATGCTTTTATTGTCGTTGCACATTCAAACTGAACGGCCGTCTTATAACAGTGCAAAAAGCAAAATCTAAAATATGAAGTTTAAGAATAGTGCAAAGAGTGTATTTACAGTAAATAAAACAATAATAGTGCAGCAATAAGATAAACTAGTATCAAGACCCTGCACAAGATTTTTATAGGTAGTTATTGCTCATGATTGCAGTTTGTCCATCAAAATGTTGTACAAAACATTATTTATATGGACCGGTGTGATCAAAGCTGGGCAGAGTTAAGTGCCATAACGGCTAATGCACCAAATGTTGTGATCTTCGACTGATAACTTTCCTTCCACACAGCTCCTTTATTTAACAGTAGATTAATAAAATCAACCTGCACGGTTTAAAAGCAGACTTGAGTAGCTGTTTGTCGCATGTCGTTCCCCACATTCCTGGAACTCTCGCTGTCTCTGTCAAATAAAAGCATGAAAAGAAAAATCTAAAACATACAATAAAATAAAAACAAACTGGCATCAGTCAACCTTCTATTTTCATCTCTCTTTCTTTTTTTTTTTTTGATAAAAATTGGTTTGTATGGGCCGCCGCTATAGTTCAACTGGTTGAGCTGGCGACCCATGTACTGGGGCCTTCGTCCCAACGCAGTGGTCGTGGGTTCGAATCCAGCCCATGACCATTTGCTGCAGGTCCCTCCACCATTCTTCTCCACTTTCCTGTCTCTCTCTCCACTGTCCTGTCAAATAAAGGCCAAAAAAGCCACACAAAAAAAACTTAAAAAACAAATAAAAATTGGTTTGTATTCAGATTTCTTTTCCTTTTTTTCACTGTTGCTGGTATGTTTGTTCATAGGGAACAGGTCTTAACTTATACACAACAACATAGGGTCTCGGGGTTCATATTTAAACTTGAATAAATTGTCAAATTTTCAGTCCCAATCTTATCTTTCTACTGAGAAGCACTTAGGCTCAGCTGCTGTAGTGCTAAGCTTGTATTTTATAGACTGTTGTCGGGTCTTTCTCTTTTTGGTTCAGCAGCCACCACGTTAGGCTGTTTTGTGAAATGTTCTCCACAGATAACAGCGACTTGACTTGAATATGCAGAAGACAAACAGGTTGTTTGAAAAAGAAACAATAAGCAGGCATGGATATCTTCTGATAAATTGAATGCAACCTTTATTGTCAAAATGTTGTAGCTGCATTACCAAATAATATTACCCTTTTAAAACAGAAATAATAAATAGGCAGATGGTTAATTCATGTCATGTATTAAGCTCGTGCATGTTGGTTTCAAGGCTGGACTGGTCCTTAAACTTGAAAGTTGAGATTATCTTTAGGAAATGGTCTAAAGTTTAGATGGTTTATATTTAAAAACTTGCTTCCGCAGTTTACTTTTTAAAAAAACTTTTATTTGATGCTTGTTGTTGTTGTTCTTTGGCACATTCTTCCCCTCGGCGACGCCTCTTCTTCACATCCTTTCACTGAAACTAAACCGCTGCCGTCTGTTCCCCAGTTTCTTTATCACGCCTGGATCACCGACCCCAAAGCTGCTCTGAGGGCACGAGGCAAAGAGAGACGCAAGTTCTGGAAGAAATACACCAGGGGGGTGAGAAAAAGGAAAAGCAAGAAAGATGGTAAGCAGATTGTACAGAAGAAAAACAAACAAACATGATGAGTTTTCAGCTGCAATAAACTGCCTTTACTGTACTTCAGCAGGTCACGTGACCATAGAGGTCGGGGAGCTTTCTGATGGCCAAGAAAAGGGCGACGAGAACAAGAAGTCTGGTGGTCCAGGTTGGTTTCTCTGCAAGAAAGTTGTTTCTTGAGATCTTGAATAAAATATTGGCTTGTTGTTGTGTTAGGTTTGTACAACTGAGTCACAGCTTGTTCTAAACTCTCGACCAGAAACACTTAATGGGGAGTGCAAGTCAAAATTTGGTGTCTGTTGCTGTAGATTAGTAGTAGGGTTTCATTTTTCTTTTGCAATTCTTCCAATGTGCAAAGTCTCCATCCAGAGAACTTTGGATATTTTGTGATTTTTCTCCATGTTGCTAACCTTTGGTGGTTTTCAGTGATTTATCAGGAGAATATTTATTAGTTTTCTGAGGCTGTTAAGCTACCACTACTGCAACCTCTTCTGTGCTGCGTTCTCTCCCTCAGACAACATCATCAAGCGAGTGTTCAACATCATAAAGTTCACCTGGGTGCTTTTTCAGACGACGGTCGACAGCTTCACCAAGTGGATGAATGACATGTGCCGGGAGTACATGGACATCTCCACGGTGCTGCGAATAGAGCGCTGCATGCTGACTCGAGAGGTCAAAAAGGTACATAGACCTCCACGCTGGCTTTTTTTTGTGGTGGCATTTTTACACTTTTTTTAACTGCAATATAAAGTCCTGAGCCTTTGTGGAAACAGCACAACCATGACTCGCAGCAGAGGGAACTGAAATGTGTATTTTGTGTAGTATAGCGTAAATCATTTTTTAAAAAAAACACAAGTTGAATTTCTTTGATTGTTTTACAAAACTTTTCAGAAACCTAGAATCAACATGTAGAACATTGGTCCAAGTGCCCACGGATGTTAAAAATACTCTAAAATAAAACGGTAGCTCTACAAACCATAATTTGTTTCACTCTGCTTTGCTTCCACACTTGACTCATATCTGCTCTCTGTAATTACAGCCTGCTGGTCGGCCCCGTCTAGTCAAAAAGTCCCTGAATGTTTGTGACCTGACTCTTGGTTGCAGCTAAGTCACTAATGGCTTCATAATTGCCCTGAGAAGTGGAGATTTTTTTCTCCACTTCTTACAGACTCTGGGTAATGCAGGTGCCTTGTTTTTGACGCACTTTCAAATGAGACATGTAGAATATCCAGATTGTAAGATTAGATTTTTCAATTGAATGTCACATCAAGGATCATCAAAAAGTTTAAATGATTCTTTCCTGTTTCCTCCTCAGGCAAATGAGGTCATTTGGTTGTCAGTAGGTTTTGGGGTTCAGAGCATTAAGAGAACAAGTAAACGATGATTCCTCTCCTCCTGCCAGGGCAACGTGCCGTCCAGAGAGAGCATCCACGTCTACTACCAGAAGGCCATGAGGCTCAACATGTCCAGGCAGGCCAGCATGGATCAGCTCAGCGAGGACGAGTCGGCTTCGGGCTCCACCAGAGTGCGCAGGAGGCGAAGAGGCTACCCGATGGAAAGTCTGGACTCGACGGCCTCCAGAGACAGCATATCCAGGTACGAGGATGCTTGTCATTTCCCTCGAGAATACACCGAGCTCAGCATGGCAGAGGGTACAAAGTGACGGCAATAGATTTTCTCCTAAGAGGATGCAGACTTAAAACCTACAAGACAGCTGCTGGAGTTTAAAAAAAAGTTTTATGAAGAGCAGCAGCAGGTGAGCAATGTGGTTCAGGTGTGGTAGCAGGAGAATGAGGACGTGTGAGGACAGTTGTTTGATTATTGCTGTTCAAAATACTGTGCACTGAGAATATAACACCACATATAGTAACTGGATTCAGCTACATTA